CAGATGCTGATATGCCATTTTTGAAAGCATAGTTCTAGCTGCTCAGACTACTAATGTTCCAAATAGGGAAATTAGGTCAAACAAAAATGACCCTAAATGGATAAACAATAGATTAAAGCATCTCAGAGGTCAAAACAGAGGTATTTACTGGCAAATCAAAAGGGGAGATAGGCAGTTAAGAAAATACATTCAACAAAAGACATAAAAAATGAAATAAGAAAAACAAGAGAATGAGGTTAAATCTGCAAGGGATTCAAAGATTAACCCAAAAGGTTTCTTTCAGGCGGCATATAGAAGTAAGATTAGGGACAAGATAGGCCTGCTCAAAAGCTACTTGGGTCAGCTCACTGACAGTGATAAAGAAATGTGTAGATCTTTGAAACTTATTTCCTCAGTTTTTATGCAGGAAGATACTAGTGAAGTTCCAGAAATAATAAATTATACAGAATAGGACGAAAATAAGTTATGCACAACCAAAGTCACTAGTAGATGGCTCAGTGGCCTGGTGGCTAAAGCTCTCACTTCACATACGGAGGGCCCGGGTTCGATTCCCTGCGGGTGGAAACATTTCGACGCGTTTCCTGACACCTGTTGTCCTGTTCACCTAGCAGCAAATAGGTACCTGGGTGTTAGTCGACTGATGTGGGTCGCATCCTGGGGAACAAGACTGAGGACCCCAATGGAAATAAGTTAGACAGTCCTTGATGATGCACTGATTTTCTTGGGCTATCCTGGGTGGCTAACCCTTCAGGGTTAAAAATACCAACGAAATCTTATCTTTAGTGTCATGGTTCTCAGACAAATAGATAAATTAAAACCTAACAAACCCCCAGGCCCTGATGAACTATTCGCAAGGGTTTTAACGGAATGTAAAGAGGAATTTAGCAAACCTTTGGTTAGTCTTTTAACATATCACTACAAATTGGCATAGTGCTACCACACTCAGCTTGCACACTGAGGTCAGAGGGTTAAACCCCAGTACAGCTGTAAAACATTAGGACGTTTCTATAAGACACCTGCCGTCCCTGTTCACCCATCAGTAAAATGGGTACCTGGGTGTTAGGCGACTGATGTGGGTTGCATCCTGGAACAAAATTGACCTAATTTGCCCAAAATGCTCTGCATAACATGCAGCTTTCTATGAAGTAATACGTCACTGATGTCAGTTATGCCTGTATACTTTGTACATGTAGAAAAAAGATATATTATTATTATTATAAATGTGATACCTATCTATAAAGTAGGAGGCAGGTCCTTAGCTTCAAACTATAGGCCAATAAGCCTAACCTCCACTGTGGGAAAATTGATGGAATCAATAACTGCCGAGGCTATGTGAAGCCACCCTGAAAGACAGACAAACTGACTAATGAATCTCAGTATGGTTCTACAAAGGGGCATTCCTGCCTTACAAATTTACTATTTTCACTAAGCTATTTGAGGATGCAGATCATGGTAATGTATATGATTGTGTGTATATGGACTTCAGTAAGGCTTCTGATGCAGTTCCACACTGGAGGTTATTGAGAAAAGTAGAAGCTCACGGAATAGGAGGAGGAATTTTTTCTTGGACAGAGGTGTGGTTGACAGATAGGCAACAGAGAGTTTGCATAAATGAGGAGAAATCAGTGGGAACATGTCACAAGTGGTGTTCCATAGGGGTCAATGTTGGTCACTTTGTTGCTCACAATTTATATAAACAACATAGATGAGGGAATAAATAGCTACATAAGCAAGTTTGCCAGCGACACCAATATGGACTGTCAAATTAATTCTGAAAGTTAGACATGTGCTACATCTGGGTATCTTTATTGTAGATGTTTTGCCATCCAGTGGCTTCATCAATACAGATTATAGGACATTACTTGAAGACAATTGGTGTGAAGAGCACCGGTGCTCTTCACACCAACTCCAAGGCTGAGGGACTGATTACCTCATCTTTTGTATTTAGTTCTACTGTCTTCAAGTCACATCTTAGAATCTGTATTGATAAAGCCACTGGATAGCAAAACGTCTACAATAAAGATACCCAAATGTAGCACGTGTCTAACTTTCATCTTGTTGGTATTGTACACCATTCATGGTTTAGAAAGACACGTAAGCAAACACTATGACATATTTATTAGAAAACGTTTCGGTCCTGGGACCTTGATCACTTCTAACATACAGAGGTAGAAAGGCATTATATATATAGGCGGAGAGCGAGGTGTGACGCACGTGACCTGAGGAATGTCATAAGAGCATAAGAATGGAGGAACACTGTAGAAGGCCTACTGGCCCATGCAAGGCAGGTCCTTATCAAAACAACCTCTGCCTATGATGAGGAGGTAGACGTTGAAATCATGTGACTCCTGTGTTGTTGGGTTGGTGGTGCTTAAGTATCATGTATGCCAATGTTTTTGAAATTTTGTAGTTTCCAGTGTTGCGTTCTATAGTATCGGTGACGGCGATTAGTGAGGCTTCTAGGCACCGTCGGCATCTGAGGTCTGGTTCAGTGAGAACGAGTTGTGCCTCATTCCAGTTCATCAAATGTCCCGTGGAGTCTCTGTGGAGGACACAGGCGTACCTTACATCGTCTCTGTTAGAGGCATTTCGATGCTCATTCAAGCGGACTGCAAGATCTCTGCCTGTCTCGCCTACATATTTCTTGGGACAGAACCCACAGGGGATAGTGTAGACGCCTGCTGTAGAAGTTAGAGGTGTGGGGCTGCGTTTCGTAGTGAGGTCTTTGATAGATGATGTTACTCATAGCAAGTTTACACTTGAACTCGAAAATGATGGCAAACTTCCTTTCCTCGACGTTCTACTGTGCAGATCTCCCGACAGTGACAAACTTCTCTTCAAAGTGTATAGAAAACCTACCAACAAGGACGATCTTGTACACTTTTATTCACACCAAGACACCCGCACTAAGAGAGGAGTCCTCATTGGCTTCTTCTTGAGAGCTCTTCGCATCTCCAGCCCTTGTTTTCTAGAAGAAGAATACACTTACATAACACAAGCCTTTACACGTCTTCAGTTCCCATCTTTCTTCATCCGAGATTGCAGACTTAAGGCACAAGCTATTCTCAACAAACCGCCCATGGAATCGCCCCCTAAGCAGTTCATAGTACTCCCATGTGGTGATGTTGCCACGAATACTCGCCGGGCACTTGCTATGAGTAACATCAACGTTTTCCACCATAACACATCATCTATCAAAGACCTCACTACGAAACGCAGCCCCACACCTCTAACTTCTACAGCAGGCGTCTACACTATCCCCTGTGGGTTCTGTCCCAAGAAATATGTAGGCGAGACAGGCAGAGATCTTGCAGTCCGCTTGAATGAGCATCGAAATGCCTCTAACAGAGACGATGTAAGGTACGCCTGTCCTCCACAGAGACTCCACGGGACATTTGATGAACTGGAATGAGGCACAACTCGTTCTCACCGAACCAGACCTCAGACGCCAACGGTGCCTAGAAGCCTCACTAATCGCCGTCACCGACACTATAGAACGCAACACTGGAAACTACAAAATTTCAAAAACATTGGCATACATGATACTTAAGCACCACCAACCCAACAACACAGGAGTCACATGATTTCAACGTCTACCTCTTCATCATAGGCAGAGGTTGTTTTGATAAGGACCTGCCTCGCATGGGCCAGTAGGCCTTCTACAGTGTTCCTCCATTCTTATGTTCTTATGACATTCCTCAGGTCACGTGCGTCACGCCTCGCTCTCCGCCTATATATATAATGCCTTTCTACCTCTGTATGTTAGAAGTGATCAAGGTCCCAGGACCGAAACGTTTTCTAATAAATATGTCATAGTGCTTGCTTACGTGTCTTTCTAAACCAACTTGTCGGTATTTATTACCAAGGTTTATACCACACCATTCATGTACAAATTAATTCTGATAAGAACACTAGATCGCTGCATGAAAACTTGAATAGACTGATACAGTGGCCGAAGAAGTGGCAGATGCAGTTTAATACAGACAATGCAAAGTTGGAAAGAAAAATAACCATGACACTTACAAACTAAATAATGTAGATAATAATATCATTGAGTGCAAAAAAAAAAAAATTAGCAGTAATCTAGTTAGCATTAATCTAAAACAAAGACAACAGTGCATAAGTGTTTGCAATAAAGTGAATAGAATTCTTGGCTGCATATCAAAAGTATAAATAACAGGAGCCCTCAGGTTATTCTTTGTCTTGTTGGGTTTATCAGGGCCATTGACAGCTTCTCCTCTATATATTGTTGGTTAGACTTAGCTTATACTGCAAAGATCTGGTCACCATATTACAGAATGAATATAAATGCGCTGGGAAACATACAAAGAAGGATGACAAAGTTGATCCCATATATCAGAAATCTTTCCAACAAAGATAGGGCATTGAATCTGCTCTCTCTCTCTCTCTAGTAAGACAAAATTAAGGGGATATGATCGAGGGGTATAAATGGAAAACAGGAATAAAGAGGCTGACAATAACGTGCTAGAAGTATCTAAACCAAAACAGGACTTGCAGCAATGGTTTCAACTATAACAAATTTTGATTTAGAATATAGGAAAACATTGGTTTGCTAACAGAATTCTGGAACAAACTCCCGAGTAGCGTTACTGAAGCTAAAATGTGTAGTTTAAAAAAATAGGTTAGACAAACACACGAGTGTGAGGGGAAGGGGTGAGTTAGACCTGGTTGGTAGGTAAGACACAGAGGCAACTGTTGCCTTTGTCTTATCTACCAACCTGTCGGTACTGTATACCATTTTGATATTCACGAGTTAGACCTGACTAGCATGGGCCAGTAGGCCTGCTGAAGTGGTCCTTTATATTCTAAAAACATCAGGAGTTTTTGATCATCGAGTGATTTGAAATGTCTGATAATCATTGGCATCCAAAAACTTAGTGTGATAGTTTTCAATGCTGGTAAAATACAATCTGATCTGACCTGCTTTAGTATTTAAAATATCTGAAAAAAAAAACTTAATCCATATACATAATACATACAGTGAAAACAGTAGATATATCAAGATTTCTTAGGACGCAGTTTACACCATCTCTACAGAATAAAGCAGCAGTTAATTAAGAAAGTATCCACAAACACCATATTCAGTTTACAGCAGTATGAAGGACACTGACAGCTGCAGCAGCAGCAACACTCACACACCCCGTGAACACAACCAGCGCACAACTACAAGGTCACCACCTTTGTCTGGCGCACTAACGTATGGTGACGACCATGTAAGGCGCATTAACGTATGATAACGACCGTGTAAGACGCATTAACATATGATGACGACTGTGTAAGGCGCATTAACATATGATGACGACCGTGTAAGGCGCATTAACATAAGGTGACGACTATTGTCTGGTGCAGTAACGTAAGGTGACGACCATTGTCTGGCGCATTAAAAAAAAAAGTGACAAACTGATCTTTCACACCGATCCACTGATTTAAATAACTATAAACCTATATCAAACCTACCCTTTCTATCTAAAATCTTCGAAAAAATAATTAACAAGCAAGTTTACTCCTACTTTGTATCCCACAATATACTTAACCACTGCCAGTTTGGATTTAGGTCAAACAAAAGTACAAATAATGCATTTACACACATGCTTGAACTTCTATATACGGCACTGGAAAAAAAAAAAAGAATATTCCACTGGACCTCTTCACAGACGTATGGAAAGCATTTAATGCAGTTGACCCCGATCTCTTGCACCTAAAACTTGAACATTACGGGGTCAGAGGACACTCACTCGATTACCTAAAATCATATTTTAGCAATAGACACCAGTATGAATTCACAAATGGTGTTGCCTCCACCACACAACCTGTTCTTGTTGGAGTCCCCCAGGGACTCCAACAATGACCTCCCTAAGCATTTGTTCTTGTTGGAGTCCCACAGGGAAGCATTCTTGGCCCACTTCTCTTTCTCATTTACATCAATGACCTACCAAACGCATCTAATCTTAAACCAATTTTATCTGCAGATGACACAACTTGTCTTTTTTACCCAAACTCAACCATAATAACAGACAGTAAATGCTGAACTGCTAACAATATCTACTTGGATGATTACCAACAAACTTACTCTCAATACAGACAAAACCTACTTAATGCTTTTTGGAAACAGAGCTTCAAATGTACAGCTAAACACATTGATAAATGGTTCATCTATTTCGAGACAGGCAGAGGGCAAATTTCTTGGTCTCCACCTTGACTGCAGTCTCAAATTTTAGACACACATACATCAAATTTCCAAGAAAGTCTCCAAAGATATGGTACTATGTACCCCAATCAGCTCTTCTAGCTTTGTACCACTCTCTCATTTACCCTTACCTCACCTATGGTATTTGTACATGGGGCTCAACCACAGCAAATCACCTTAAACCTTTAATAACCCAGCAAAAGCCTGCAGTGTGGCTGATTACTAACTCCTGCATTAGACAACACACTCCACCTCTTTTCAAGAGTCTTAACTTGCTAAATATACAAAACATTCACACTTGTTATTGTGCCTACTACATACACAGAACACTATACTCTAATGTAAACCCTCCTCTCAAACTCCTTGATAACTATAACAGAACACACAACCATAATACGAGACACATCATTCTTCGATATCCCTCGTGTTCATCTCTCCCTATGCAAAAATGCTATGCACGTAATGCTTCAAATGATGTAGTGGAAGTTTTAGCAGTAAAGATCGAGAACCAAAACCTAGTCAATGTGGTAGCCTACAAGCCTCCGGATGCAACGTCCCAACAATTCCAGGAACAGCTGTTGAAAATTGACCACTGTCTGGAAAATCTTCCAGCTCCTGCCCCCAACATCTTGCTCCTGGGAGATTTTAACTTGAGGCACCTAAAATGGAGGAATATAGCAAATAATGTTGTTGCAGTGATAACACCAGGGGGCAGCTCAGACGAGAACTCACACACACACGAGCTTATAAATCTCTGCACAAAATTCAACTTAAACCAGCAAATAATAGAGCCTACTAGACTGGAGAATACACTGGACCTCATCTTCACTAACAATGATGATCTGATACGAAATGTCACCATATCAAAAACAATATACTCGGATCACAACATAATTGAGGTTCAGACATGTATGTGCGGAGCCCCAGACCAACAAAATGAGATCAGTCATGAGGGAGCCTTCACCAAATTCAACTTCAATAACAAGAACATAAAGTGGGACCAAGTAAACCAAGTCCTTAATGATATAAGCTGGGAAGATAGACTAAGCAACACAAACCCCAACTTATGCCTAGAACAGATTAACTCGGTGGCACTCGATGTATGCTCAAGTCTTATTCCTCTAAGAAAATGGAGCAAATGTAAAATAGAAAGAGACAGGCGCTCCCTTTACAGGCGACAGAAAAGAATAACAGAGCGGCTAAAAGAGGCCAATATATTTGAAATGTGTAGGGAGACACTGGTCAGAGACATAGCAAACATAGAACTAAAGCTAAAGGAATCTTATAGGAGTCAGGAATCGTGGGAAGAACTAAAAGCCATAAATGAAATCGAAAGAAACCTAAAGTATTTCTTTTCTTATGCCAAATCAAAGTCGAGAACAACATCCAGTATTGGGCCCCAACTTAAACAAGATGGGTCCTACACAGATGACAGCAAGGAAATGAGTGAGCTACTCAAGTCCCAATATGACTCAGTTTTTAGCAAGCCGCTAACCAGACTGAGAGTCAAAGATCTAAATGAATTTTTTATGAGAGCCACAGAATTTGGTAAACACAAGCCTATCTGATGTTATCCTGACGCCAAATGACTTCGAACAGGCGATAAATGACATGCCCATGCACTCTGCCCCAGGGCCAGACTCATGAAACTCCGTGTTCATTAAGAACTGCAAGAAGCCCCTATCACGTGCTTTTACCATCCTATGGAGAGGGAGCATGGACACTGGGGTCATCCCACAGTTACTAAAAACAACAGACATAGCCCCACTCCACAAAGGGGGCAGTAAAGCAATAGCAAAGAACTACAGACCGATAGCACTAACATCCCACATCACAAAAATCTTTGAAAGGGTCCTAAGAAGCAATATTGCCACCAATCTAGATACCCATCACTTACACAACCCAGGGCAGCATGGGTTTAGAGTAGGTCGCTCCTGTCTGTCCCAACTACTGGATCACTACGACAAGGTCCTAGATGCACTAGAAGACAAAAAGAATGCAGATGTAATATATACAGACTTCACAAAAGCCTTCGACAAGTGTGACCAGGGCGAAATAGCGCACAAAATGCGTGCTAAAGGAATAACAGGAAAAGTTGGATGATGGATCTATAATTTCCTCACAAACAGAACACAAAGAGTAGTAGTCAACAGAGTAAAGTCTGAGGCGGCTACTGTGAAAAGCTCCGTTCCGCAAGGCACAGTACTCGCTCCCATCTTGTTTCTCATCCTCATATCTGACATAGACAAGGATGTCAGCCACAGCACCGTGTCTTCCTTTGCAGATGACACTCGAATCTGCGTGACAGTGTCTTCCATTGCAGACACTGCAAGGCTCCAGGCGGACATCAACCAAATCTTTCAATGGGCTGCAGAAAACAATATGAAGTTCAACGATGAGAAATTTCAATTACTCCGATATGGAAAACGTGAGGAAATTAAAACTTCATCAGAGTACAAAACAAATTCCAGCCACAAAATAGAGCGAAAAACCAATGTCAAAGACCTGGGAGTGATCATGTTGGAAGATCTCACCTTCAAGGACCATAACATTGTATCAATCGCATTTGCTAGAAAAATGACAGGATGGATAATGAGAACCTTCAAAACTAGGGATGCCAAGCCCATGATGACACTCTTCAGGTCGCTTGTTCTATCTAGGCTGGAATATTGCTGCACACTAACAGCATCTTTCAAGGCAGGTGAAATTGCTGACCTAGAAAATGTACAGAGAACCTTCATGGCACTCATAACAGAGATGAAACATCTCAATTACTGGGAGCGCTTGAAAGTTCCTGAACCTGTACTCCCTGGAACGCAGGCGGGAGAGATACATGATTATGTACACCTGGAAAATCCTAGAGGGACTAGTACTGAACTTGCACACGAAAATCACTCACTACGAAAGCAAAAGACTCGGCAACATCCCCCCAGTGAAAAGCAGGGGTATCACTAGCACGTTAAGAGACAACACAATAAGTGTCATGGGCCCAAGACTGTTCAACTGCCTCCCAGCATACATAAGGGGGATTACCAATAGACCCCTGGCTGTCTTCAACCAGGCACTGGACAAGCACCTAAAGTCGGTACCTGACCAGCCGGGCTGTGGCTCGTACGTTGGATTGCGTGCAGCCAGCAGTAACAGCCTGGTTGATCAGGCTCTGATCCACCATGAGGCCTGGTCATAGACCGGGCCACAGGGGCGTTGACCCCCGGAACTCTCTCCAGGTAAACTCCAGGTAAAAGTACAAGGCCCGAAGATCTGGAATTCATTGCCAGAACACACTAAAGGACCACTGTCTGCAAATCAGTTTAAAGCCCTAATAAGAGATCACCTCATCACCCATAATTAACCAGATAAACCATACCTAATCACTACCAGTTCTCAAAAACTACTCATATTGTGTTGATGAATGTTCAACCGCGTACTACTTCGAAATTAGGATGTCTGTTTTTTCAGTGTTTTAAATAGCAGTAGATTGTAATACAGTACTTCATAATGTAAACTGTTCCATTGTAATACCAAATTTCATTGTTTTAAATAGTACTAAACTGTAATACATTATATTGTAAATGTAAATTGTTTTAAATTGTTACATTGTAACATTGTAATCTTTATTAACTAATTCAATAGTATAATAAGTCTCTACTAGACTTATCAAAACCATGTAGCATTACCTGATAGAATATTCAGTTCTACTGTACTCACTGTAACTCATCTAATGACCATATGAACTATGTATTATTGCCTTACTAATCTTAAGTTAATCTTTAAGTTTGCCTGAAATGCTCTGCATACAACGGGGCTTTTGGCATGTACACCCAACTATTATATACCTCTGTACAACCATGTAATTTGTCAAAATAAATATCTTAATCTTAATCTTCGTCTTAATGCTTCTAAACTACTTAAACCTGTTCTTTTTTGCAGATGACATGACTTATATCTTCTCTTATCCAAACCAAACCATACTTAGAA